TCCTTCCCTAACATCCAGTCTACAGTCGCTAGCTCATCGTCGGGCAGTTGATTCGTTGTCCCTCTTCTACCATTACTACTTTGGGTTTTGTTCTTTGGAACTTGCTTCGGCAGTTCCTCTTCCTGCAACTTTTACCCGTCCATCCCGCACACAGGCATCTAGTCATCCTTATCTGGTTTCTGTTCCCAGATGTCGTACCTCTCTACTCCAATCTTCTTTTTTTCCCCATAACTGCCAAACTGTGGAACACCCTCCCCCTTGTTGTTTTCCCCCAAATGACAACCTTGCACTTTTTAAACACAAAATCAATAAACTGGACCTTACGTGAATGTTCCCTTACTCTCCCCCCTACAGCATGCTGTTTGCTCATGGGGATTTCCCCTTTTGCTGTAATTCACTTTGTGTAATAAAAAAACTGAGTGTCGTAAATAGTGGCATTTGTACATCTTTTCAATTTCTTAGCAGCCATAGTTTAGTGGAATTCTCAGTTTTCTCTTCCACTCTACTTCCAACAATTCTGTCTTTTTCTTACTCTTCATTATATTGGATATTCAAAGAAGGCAACAAAACCCGGCGAACGAAAATGCATTGTCAGTGGTTGTACAAACTGAAACTGAAAACCTGTGCCAATTGGTGAACCCATCACATACTCGAACACTGCCGCTGATCGTCCTCTATCGATTATTCAGTGAATCTAAACCCACCTTTTTACAGTTGATTGCTAGTTAGTGGCCGTTCCCCTACCTGCGACCTGTGTGGGCGCTCAGTAATTGACATCTTTGCTCCTGCTGCAGAACTGTTCCGGGAGTCGTATGACTGAATTCATGGTGGCATCAAATGTGTGTGTGGCGTGTCCTGCGCGGTTACATGAACCCGGAGCTGATTGAGTGCCTCCCTTTGCGCTCGCAGACGAAGCATTCAGACATAAGCTCACATCGTTGAAGCTTCCATCATTCTGACTACCGTTCAAAGTAACCAACTTATGGAATGCGCTTTCAGCTGATGTGGTGGAGTAAGTTAATGACAGCCCATGTTTAGAGGAAGCTTGATCGCGTTCTTCATGAAAAGTGGAATGCACTTGAGGGGCTCATACGGCAGGCTTCCCCCTACCTCTGATCAACGGACATTGAACATTGAAGAATCCTTCCAGTGCAGCTCTCTTCAGGTCTGTAACAAATGTTCGATGGTCATTTAATAGGCAAAAGACATTTTTGGATCATAAGTTAGCGGAGCTGTTTTGTTTTCCCTCTGGTAGCCTCCCAGTTCGTTCCCTTGCTAACACCGTCTCCTATAAATTTTTCCATCCCTTTTCTCTCTTGAACCCAATGGAAGTAGTTGAAGTGTTTTATTCCGTTATCAGTTCTACTTCTACTCTATCCATTGTAGTGTTTCCTCAGCCGTTCTTTTAGAACGTTATCTTATTTCAAAACGTTCTACCAGAGATATCCTCTAAGCCGTTCTTGCTCTCGGCTTATAATCTACCTGCCCCTACTAGTAGTCCACCCATTCTCTGGATTGCACCTGGTTTCAGGAAGATCTTAGGCCGAGTTCGGCGCTAAGGTGTATCGGCGTAAGGATCTCAATTTAGTCACGTCCTTGAACTCGTCCTGGTTCCGTGCTTTCTTCAATGGCTGCTGTATCGCGACCCCAGTTGACGGTTATATTGCTCTCGTATTGTACTGGAGTATATACTATTCCGCTCTTGGTCGTATTCTCGCTATATCTCAATCCGATCAAAAACGTTTCGAACTGCATGAATAGGAGAAAAAAGGAGTTGAATATTCCAAATTTACATATCACGAGAAAGGCTTTGCAGAAAGTATGGGAAGCAGTTTCACAGGGCTACACACATCCAGGAAGTGATTTCCCGCACGACTTTAAGAATTTACGAGGTTATCAAACGCAGAGGCAATGATAAAAGTTACCAATCAACGGTGCTTTGTTTATCCTGCAAGGGTAGCGCGAACCATCAGAAAACTGAATCTAGTATGAAACACGGATAATTTTAATGTCGAGTTGAGGCTTTGGGCATGTATTAGCTTCTCGTAGACGTGTGTGTCACCCAATTGATCCAAACAACCCTTAGGTTTTACTTTATTTGGTTACTAAGGTGAGTACCCGAAAATCAATGTAGACATAAGATTCCTTCATACCCCCCTCTTTTCACTTAATTACGCAAACTCTCCTAAAAGATTGTCCTCGTGTTCTTTCGTTGAACCCGAATCTCGGGAAAGGTGCCTACAATCAGATTTTGTTATGTTTATTTGGCGAAAATTCACATACCTGCGTGTAGTGCATACGATTTACACAACACAAGGTTTTCTATTTATTGTTTCTTTCCTTGAAACCGTTTCAGGTAATCGTACAAACGTGGTGAGTAGTTAGATAACGTGTGCACTTTCTGGTCTGTTTCGCGATGGAGGCGGTAGCCATACATTCATTCAAACCCACTGAACCAGACGAATTGGGCTTCGAGAAAGGTAGTATATTACACGTAAGCGCATCCACTGGAATTTTCATTCCGTGATATCATTGGCGCAGATTGTCGAAATGGAAGAAGATCCAAATTGGTACAAAGCAAGACAAAATAATCGCGAGGGTATGGTCCCAGCCAACTACATCACTCTATATCCACACCCGTGGTACGTACCGAAATGCAGTCGTCGTGAGGCAGAAGTTCGGTTACTCGAAGTTGACCCTCAAACAAAGTGTGATGTGCAACCAGACGGTGCGTTTATACTAAGACAAAGTGAAAATGACCTCGGACAGTTCAGTATATCAGTCAAGTAAGTCCTATCCATGAACTTTGTCCGACTTGAGACCACCCCTATTCATCCGATATCTTGACTCCTCCGTCGTATGGCTGTCACCAAGTAGGTTGCCACGGTGTACGGTATTTGTTGAGGTAGATTGAGTTGGAAAAGTAAAGGCTGGCCAAACTAAGACCTTAAATGAGGACATGAAAGCCATGATCATAAATCTTCCTCACGTAGGTCACATTAGACTTCCTAAATGGAGCTCTTGATGATAAGATAAACTGAGTGATATGACTGATTGTCGTCAACAGTGGCATTCGTGTATCTAGCTACTTCCTTTCCTTACAACCTTAGTCTACATTGAATCCTCTGTCTTTACATTGATACTGCTTTCAACATTCCCAGTCGTCCCTGTGCACGTTCATCTGAACAGTAATGAAAGCCCCCGCATCGAAGTTATGGTTAATGGTTGTTTAGAATGAAATTCAAACCAACCTGTAGTTCGTCAGTCCCATGGCCTGGTATTAGTTTGTGAAGTTCTTCATCACTAAATAATCGGTCCTCGTTAATTTTCACTTTCACATTGTTTGCTCAATACGCTGTAACTTGTACTCAAAAAAGTCTATTTCTTCTCGCGTTTGCCCGGTTTTCAGCCCAGTATACTGCCTATATATTTTGGTTGTATGAGAACAATGCGTTTCACGGATTGATTATGTATCTTAGGTTCATTTGAAATGACGTCAACTAATAAGCTGATAGGTATCGGAGGGAAGCGAGAAATAAGACATTGACCGGTGGTGGTTTACCTATCTTATGTATGTATGTATTTCACACGCGTCTGAATCCAGATTGTGTCAAACAAATCCTAGTACAGTAATTTTTAATATAACAGGACCAAAGGATGCTAGGAGTGTATCGATGAGCCATGTGTTGTTTTATTGTAAACGTTATAATGTAAAACCTGCCTTGAGAAAGTTTACCCACGGTTGCCGAAACGGCGAATACAATTCCCTACCGACTTCGCTGTGTCAACATTATAATATTCACATAGTACAATAACCTTTATGAAAAGAGAAACGTTCCATGATTTACTGAATAATGCCAAATTCCCAGACCAGCCAGGTGACGTTTCTTAGAACCTTCGGCTAGCCAAAGCCTGACCCACAAGGTAGTGGGACGTTTGGTGAAAACCGCAATGTTTTGGGGCCGTTATCCAAATTAGCGAATTATACGCCCTTGGAACAGGGTCAAATGTCCAAGTTGCCCAATACACCTCGATGCCCAATTGAGCCGGTGACCATGGCCACAATCAAGGTGTGGTTTTTGTGGTTCGTACGTCTCTTCTTGGTTGGTTTGGAACCACGGTTTTTCCCTACCTCCTTAGGTGAACTGCCAGTGCTGCACCGATCTGGTTATAGTCACGGGCACTGGCTTTTCGTCCTCTCATTTCAGTGGGAAAATGCCTCGGTCACGAGACGGCAGTGAGTAGGGCTTCCCTAGCAGAGCTTGTTTAGATGCTTGATCTTATAGGAGTATTTCGTGAGATTCAAGAAAGGGTTGACGAACAACAACGCAAGTCACCCAGCCCGATCATACTGAGGCTTTCGGAGGCAGATTCTCAAGGGTTGTTATTAGGACAATTTTACCTTGAATCCAGAACTGCGAGTGCTATTCTTTTACTCCACATCTCTGTGGGATGTATCGGAGCGGGATTGATCTTCGTAGTAACAAAGGTCTCCCATCTCGTTATGTGAACTAGTGACCTAAGACATAGGCTGACGAACTAAATAAAACTTCGCCAGGACAGACGTATTATTGTGGGAAACAAAATCGAAGTTTGACGGAGCTGATGAGGCTCAAATATGGAATATAAATATCGGGAGTGCGTCGGTGTAAGTAACCCAAACTGCTTGACCATAAATACCCCAATAGGTCGCTGCAAACTTGATAACCCTCATAGCTCATGGGGCTATTGGACAATCTAAAACATGAGACGGAATTAGTTGACAAAGCGACACCAAGGACGCTTAAGATAAACGAGGGTTGTTTTCATCGTAACCTGGGCGAGTATAGTCAAAGACCATTCCTTTTACCGTAACGATAAGGGTTCTTTGAAGGGGTATGTGAAGTGTATTGATCGCCAGTTCTCGTGAATCCCAGGGACGTGCTGGGTTTCCGGAATCACTGCAACCATCCTAAAGGCGTTTGAATCATGACTCATTATGTTCGGTGGTGAGCGTCTTAGTTTAAGTCCGATCATCCCTCCCTTGAACATCGCAAAATGCTCCTATATGACCGAGCGTCTCAAATGGCGTTTGTTGAAGAAGCCTTACCCACTGTCTTTTGTGGGGATCTTTTCCTACCCAAACAACATCCGGGACCTCCGGGAAGCACAGCTGTATGCTACCGAGCTTTATCACAGGTCACGGATAGGGGAACAGCCGTCAACTATCAGTCAACCGTAAATAAGGTAGGTTTAGTTTCACTAAATAAACGATCATAGACGATCAGCAGCAGTGCTCGAGTATATGGTGGATTCACTACTTGGCACATAATCTCCACACAAAACATCACAGGCATCTTTCGACAGCACTGTGACGTGGCTAGTCTGGCCCGCCACTGTCTATGGCCATTGCCCTATTTGTCGAGTTCCATCAACCCAACAAGGTTCTCCAGAAGAGATGAATGAACCAACCAGCCGGTCACCGATTCACCTGGAACAATGCTATTGCCCCATAGTTCGCACTTGGTTGGGCAAAGGCTACAGTGCTTCCTCGAACAAGACCTAATCTGGACTGGACGACCGAGTAGTACAACAGACCACAACGTATCCACAAATAAAATATGGACTTTCTCTCATGAACGAATATGCACTCAGCTCTCAACAATCAGATAACACCAATTTATGCCGTGCACATCTTCCTGTTTCCCAATTTTTCTTCTATCTCACTTCCAACCCCTTCGCACATTTTCAAATCCATCGGCGTCTTCAGACAATCGTACTAGCAGTTGTACCTCAGATGGCAATCCTGCCACCATTCTCTCGCGTCCTGCCTCGAATAGCGTTCAAGCCTCACCGAATCCTCCTCTACCAATTCAAGCTCTTCTTCGTCCCCGATACCCTGTCAAACTAGCCACATTTAATGTGCGTACTCTGAGGCCTTTAGGACAACAGATAAATCTAGCTCCTATTCTCGAGACTTAATTTAATGCGCCTGGCTCCTGGGAGAGAATAAACGAGCTTCATGAATATCAAGTGAATATCCATGAAATGTCCTGGGCGTTAGGTACAGGAAACATCCCCAGCGTCACCCGGCTTTGGATCGAGGTTGCATCTCTAGCCTTTGCACAGCCAAGTGCTAACTGCAAGGCAGGTTGCGCATGGTCGCCGGTGGCCTTCTGGGGGAGGGGGGAGTTCATACGCCATTGACAGTTTCTTGCTAAACAGGGATCCATGCATCCCTGATTGGTACGGAGTCATTGCCTTGACCGTTGAGTTGTGAAGGCAACTTCGTCTGCGCAACACCTGCGTTAGAATCCGACTCGCCAAGAGTTGAGCTCCCGTTTACCCTCAATCTGGTTTGGCCTGCCTGTCGAGCGGTTTACTTGGGTGTGGCCGCTATCATCCGAACAGCTCGGAGCCACAGGTGAGAGCTAAGCGCCTGGTGGAGACCAAAGTACGGAGGATCCCCCAAATAGGACCGAAAGCTCTCCTGTTCAGGGGTGCTACTCCTACCGGGTTCCCCATACACTGTCGAGACCCTATCGGTGTGTTGTGTCCAGGAAACACGCATTCCAAACTCCTATCCCACTATCCGACTGACGTCACCAAGAAACCCATCTGTCAGGTTTAACATACCCGTTCCTGGGAATCCCGAGTCTGGGGCTTCTGTTCTTTCTCATGTTGACGTGACTCTCGGTGATTGAGCTGAAACCGTGCTCGTAGATTGGTCCCCAGTCGACATTCGGTTAAGCGCAGTAAGACTTGGAGTTTCATGCAAAGAGTCTGGTCAGGAAACCGAACAAGCAATATTGAAATTAGGCGTAGAGTTATAGGTAATCGCAGTCGTCCACTGGAGCAAGTTGTCGACCCCCATAGGTTACACTGGTTGCGATACGTGCTGTGCATATCTTCAAATAGTTCGCACAGCGAGCAATATTTGCCGAGGCAATTAATGGATGGAAAATGGTCAACGACAGTTTAACTAAGAGCTGGCATGAGGGTACGAAAACCCTAACTAGGACACTGGGTCACGTAGGTGGAATAAGGCTACCTGAATGGGAACCCCGAAATCAGGATAACCAGTGGTCGTAAATGCTCAGTGTTATAGTGGACTTTCGCAAACAGTGGCGCTCCTTCAGCTACTAANTATATGAATTCTTCATCTTCCCGTCGAATTTGCTCTCAGGATTTCAGTATTCCTTCTTCTGTTTTATCCAACTGGGCGGCCAAAGGACAGCAAGCAAAACCGATGCACGAAAGTGCATGGCTAATGGTTGTAAAAATGAAAAATGAAACTCGTGCAAAGTAGGCAGCCGTTACCATGATAGAAGAAACGTATTCGTCGTTTCGACGTACGCTTCAAAGGACTGCAGCACATCTGCTGTCATAGATGAATTTTACCGAAAACTACGCGGCCTCTTGCTTAAAGCGAACCGGGCTGATCTCCTGGTTTTAGCGTGAGATATCTATGCTCGAATTGGACGGTTGACTTCCAGTGAGGTGTATCTGGGAGGTCCGTTTAGACTAGATTCGTATCACTCATAATACGGGGAACGGCTGTCGGCTCTAGGTTTCGAACACCACCTATTCCCCGCCAGTACGAACTTCAGATGGCTCAACTGCCAATGCGGCACGTGGTGTCTTACCTTCCGCCCGCTGTCGATAGGGCCGCATTATGGAAGTTTTTGTTGAGGAATGGAGTACCAGAGAAGTATGTGTTAATCCTCAAAGACTTGTATCTTCATACCTCAGGTCTGGTTAGGGCCTAAGGCCAGCTTTCGCCATCTCCAGTGGAGTTCGACAAGGCTGCCCTATATCCTCGTTCCTATTCAACTTTGTCGTAGAGGGTGTTCTACAGAATGCCTTGTCCGGTCTAGAAAACGGTGGTCGCTGTTTTATCCAAATGGGCAACCAAAAGACAGCAACCAAAACCCGCGCACGAAAGTGCATGGTTAATGGTTGTAAAACTGAAACTGAAACTGACTGAGAAAACGGTGGAGTCGAACTCCTCCCAGGTAACAGTGTACTTTTCTTAGAATATACCGATGACATCACCTTGCTGGGTCACAATACAAATGCAGTCCAACACGCTTTGAGCTGCTTAGCAATCGAGTTATCCAGGTATGGTATGTAATTTTCATCATCTGCTTTCTAAGCCTTAGTATGGTCGGATGAGTGTCTCGGATTGTGACTGGTTACCATTCCCTTACATGTCGCGGAATGCTCCTATGTGACTAAGAGTCTCCAGTAGCCTCTGCAAAGGAAGCCCTACTCACTGTCTTCCCGCGCTGGAGTTGTTTTCCCACCGAAGTGAGGGGACCAAAAACCATTATTCGGGGCTATAACCCTGTCGATGAAGCACTGGCAGTTCACCTAGAGGAGTTGGCTAGAAACCATGATTCCAAACCAGCGAAGAAGAGGCGTGCGAACTACACACACACTTTCCTGGTTGTGGCCGTGGTCACCGGCTCAATTAGGTATCAAGTGTATTGGGAACTTTTGACATTTGACCCCATCCAAAGGGCGTATGATCCAGTAAACTGAGCACCGGCCCCCAATAGAATGCGGACTCTGGCTTTCTGGTCAAAGGCTTCGGGTGGGGACCCCGAGGATTTCCCCTTTCTTTGGTCAGCTCAACCGCTAAGCAAACTGCCCACAGAACCTGTGAACACATTCTACAAATTTCTTTTTGTTCATATGTTGTAGCACATTTGCCATTTCATTGTATTTGGTTATTTGTTGAAAAGAATGAATTGCACCATGCAATTGCAAAGTGCTTGCCCAAGACTGGGAGAAACTTGTGACTGCACGCAACCTCTGTGGTGATCAGCTTGAAGTTGAAGTTGTTAAGATTCATTACAGTGATCCCGAAGTCCCCATCCAGGGAACCTAACGCAACCTATATGACCGAGTCTCCTGGTTAGGGTTTTCACACCCCCGTGCCAAGTCTCATTTTGACCAGGCGTGGCTTTTCTCAACTCGCTGTCTGTCTTGAAAAACACCACGTGCCGCGGCAATCGATTTGGTGACAGGCAGTAGTGGCCCAGTGGTTTGGTAGCTGCCATCATTGTATTTTGGACCCTATGGTCCGGGATTCGAACCCCGCCACTGCCACCCAACTTTGCGGTAGGCAGCTTTGCTATCGTTCAGTGTAGTACTACGCCTATCCAGGTGGTTTGCTACTCCAAGTTCCGGGGCTTAGGTTGCCGATCTCCATCACAGAATATGAGATCGTCGGAACTATGCGGTTCATGCCCCATCCGCTGTTCATCACACAAAATGTGTATAATAAAAACATTTGTGCTGCAGTCCAATCAAAGTAATCCATGGTGTTCAACCACCTGCTCCAGTGGACGACCGCGACTACCAAGACATCTGCGCCTAACCTCAGCATTACTCGTATGGTTGTCCCATCAGACTAGTGCAATACGACGTAGACAGCGGTGTTCGAACACAGACAGTCTATCTTTATCCTGTTCCCGTAATGACTGAGTCTCTGCACCGTATCTACAACCACAATGAACTTCGGTGCAAATACTGACAACAAAATATCACAGTTGAAAGTAAACGTTAAAACCACATATGTCGTATGGGAAATTCGACTTATTTTGCACTGGATAACCAGGTGGTGTTGTGCTGAGCGGTGATTGATGGCCGTCACCAACGGTAATCGATCTTTCCTACCTATGCATACTAAACACTACAGGAATGGCCTTGACCTTGAACTGTTTTGTTATGAAACTAAGGCCCGTTCGCATCAACAGATCAGTGGCACAGGAAATCGGGAGAGAAAAAAGTAACCAGTGAAACAATGACGATGTGATGAGATGAAAATTTTTAAAGTGCGAACAGAAGCTGGCACTGAATGAAGCTATCGCAAGGACGTTACAAAGACTCGAGTGTGTGAGGTAAAAAGCGCATTACTCATTTAAACGTTCTTTCGTAAATCGAAGCATGAGAATACCCCTCAGCTGTATCCATTTCGTGACCGGATTGCGGTTTTCACATACCGCTCCGTTACCTTGCCGATGAGGCTTGGGCTAACCGAAGGCGCCGGCTGTTTATTCCTCGGGGAAATTCGCCTGCCTTGGCCTAAGCAACTTGGCAGTATTCCGTCCACATGCAAATCAAGGAGGGTTTTTGTTTTTCATAAAGATTATCGTACCATGATTTGTTTGGCATATAGTCTGGCGTCAGACGTGTGTGAAATAATAATAATGGTTATAGTAGTGTATCGATTAGAAATCGCCTAAACAAGACCACGTGAAAAAAGTAAGGACAGGGTTCATTATCCGTTCTTGATCTCGTGTCCCGTAACACGGACGTGATTAACACTGACAATATTGATTTTCCTCTATTTACAATGGTATCAAGCTTAATCTTCAACTGAGAGGGAGAGAACAGAAAACCAATTCGGACCGTTTTGTTTTCTGTTCAGTGGGCACAAGTAAACCACACTGAAACAGGGCGGACGGTATCAAAGTCAAATCAGGGAACGCTCTGTATATCGAGGGTTTGAATTCTCGACACTTAGTTATATATATATCGGCTTGTGAGGAAGCTTGATACCCACGCGTCAACAGGAATAACAGAACATCGGGTGTAGGAATACAAGACAGAGTGAATAGCTTTTTTACCGTACACTTTTGATGAATAGTTTGTTTCAGATCGTATTTCAGATCCCATTGATGCATGAAACACAAAGTGGACGCGCAAAGAATTTTCTTTTCGANTCCATTAGTCAGTAGATTAATACAAGGTCTGAGCCGATATTGAACGGATGTGTGCTATGAAGGGAAAAAGGGAAAAGCAAAGTAAAGTGTGAGACCCTAGATGTTGAAATGATCCACGCAAGAGACACCTGTGGAGAAACGGTTATCCGGGGATGTTCATTCGACGGCATCCAGAATCGAAATCAAAAGATTTCAAATCACAAATGGCTAGAATGAAGGTGTTCGTGAATGTTCCTTTCAGTGGAGACG